TCATTGCTTTATTGTCATACACATTGATAAGTCAATTAGGCATAACCAAATCAGATTCATGCGAGTATTGTCTACGATTGTACGATGGAAAGTATGAGAATGGTTCATATACTGAAGTGTACAAAAGCGTTGGCTCACTCTCACCACCATGGATACCTGGATCTGTTTGTGAACCTTTGATACATGATACGACGGGACAGCCCCCATACTGGCTTTTATATGAGTACGTTTCCAGATCCATTCATTTTTATGATTATGGTTAATGTGTACGTTTCGCCTATTCCATGCACGTTATAATTTGCTCGTAAGCTGACACTTAAGATGCATGTTCAAACATTTCTGTAACTTTCCATTTCATATTTGTTCACAGAGACGTCAACTACTCTGGTGCGAACACTGCTGTTGGACATGGTGCCTGCATTGATGACTTCATGAAATCCGGATTGAAAAGGATTTCCTCCATTCAAAAGTGTGTTTATAAGAAAGATGGAATGGTTGAATGCATCAAAGAATCGGAACGTCCAAGTAAATACTGTCGATACTAATCAAGGAATTTCATACGCTCATCATTCTGTGTGCTGTAAAATAAATATATGCTTCTGAACTCATGAAATTGGTATTCTGTGAGGTTACAAGTTGACGGGCGTAGGGATTGCTTGATATTTTGAAAGATCTTGTTTAGAATTTTCAGCGTAGAATTGAAATGATAACAATAACACTACCGGTGCGAATCGCATGTGAATAGATTGGTAATCAACGTGAGTTGTTTATGTTAGTCGACAAAATTTGCATAATGTGACAAGGAAAAACCTACTTTCGTGAAGTCCATGATATGAAATAACACGGTTATTCATTGTGGGACAGTCGTCCATTTCCCAGTCACTTTGTTGACCTGCATTACTTATCGATAAACGTGCGGATTGATTGGTTGATTCAGTAGTACTCCGAAGGTCACATTGTTCACAGTCACACAGTGGTACACACAGTATGTGTCTGTTGTTTTCACCTACCTCCATGCGTTTCAGGATAAACATTGTGTTAGTTAGACAGATAAACCGACATAGTATCGTCCCGGTACTTCACACGATCGAACAATAATTTAGTAGATAGTTTTAAATTTTCATCATCTTCAGTAATCAGATTCAAACAATATATGTTTCAATGACATGAACAATATGCTTGCACTGTTTTTATGATTTGGGAGTTGACCGAGTGAATAAAGACAAATGACAAATGGAGGTGGCACAGGTCTGAACAGTACGACGCACAGAGATCAGAGTATTTGTGCCTAATCTGTCTGCCCAATGATAAACAGGAGAGAACATGTGTCGATCTCCGATGAGACCTTAGCGTGATAAGCAAGTTAGTTCAACGTTGCGGCTAGGAAAGCTTGAGTCCGGATTGAGACTAACTTCTCGGTGTAGAAAGACGAAAGCTACTCAACCATGTGACTGGTTGACAAACGATGGAGCAAGAGAGATAGAGAGAGAAGATCAGTCAACCGAAACACCATTCGATTTATTCGCGATTGCGATTCACATTAGTGTGTGGAAACACATGAATCCGTAGGTGACTAACACGAACGCGACGCACAAACAATAAGGAAAACACAGTTGTGTTCATTTTAAACATCGAGGTAGATAAGTGGATTACAAAGATTACGTTTAATTTACTTAACTTGGCCTCGGAATAGTTTACGGTTCGTTTTAAGTCCAAAATAATATATATTCCATCCTGGAAGTCTTAAACGTCACTTGTGAATAGTCGATTTGTTTCGAGCATGTGTGACGATTTAGTGGTTCATGTTTTCGAAATGTGTAAAACACAAATAAATGCTGTCGCACGAATCAATTAATCTATGAACTTTCTAAATTATACGCCGAAACGAGACACGTTCATTAAGATTTTCATGAAAGAGTAAACATACAGTCCATATTAACATTAGACTCTATAACTTCCTCGATTCTTGACATGACATTCTTGTTGACACAGCTAGTATAGAGTACTGAGATATGACACTCTACATACAGTTCCGGGAATCCGTAATGATGACAGTCACATACCACACTATAAATTTCATTAAAGTTAACTTCGCAATTGCAAAACTATGGTAAGTGAATTACTCTTAAAACGAAAGCCTCCATTTGTTGTTAATTAACCAGTGACAATCTTAAATTTAAGTATTTTCTAAACTGTGGATAGACTTTTGTCATCTCAAATACAAAGGCCTACTTTTATTAACTTTTCCGAAGTTTTGTAAATTTATTGGTGAAATCTAGTTTTTTGTTCGTGGTAAGCAGTACTTGGGGTTAGTGACCCCATTTTGTATAAAACTAGCTCGCTGAAAACGCTTACCACAAAAATACTTCAAAGTAGTACATAGTTGTAAATATGCTGCTTCGCAAATGCATCAGATCCACCGTGTTCATCAATGATGCTGCTCAGATATGTAAAGGTTTTTACATCTTCCAAAGACTATCCGTCAAGTGTGATTCTATTGGTGCATGCTATGTTGTATCGGAGGATCTTACTCTTGCCTTTGTATATGTTGAGACCTACTGCTGCTGACGCTGAAGCTACACTGCTCGTCTGCTCCTGCATTTGTTGTTGCGTGTGCGACAGGACAGCCAGATTATCTGCGAGGTCTAGATCGTCTTCATAATCCATTCGATTATCAGGAGAAAGAGAAAGGGTGAGAGTAAGCAAACTTGACTGACAGGTCTTTACTTCAAACGAGCCAGTCAACTGTCCTCCATTCACCATTTCTCAGTCTAATCCATCAAAGGAATTCCGTATGACATTGACCATTTTCTCAGGCACGATGTAGTGTTGAAGAAACCTCCATATTGCTGTCCTGTCAACGCTGCCGAACGATTTTTCGTAATCAACGAAGTTCATGTAGAGTGATGAATTCCATTCAATTGATTGTTCCACAATGATCCGTAGTGTTGCGAATTGGTTTGTACAGGATCGATCCTTATGGAACCAAGCCTGTTGGTCTCGAATTTAAGCGTGTACGGAGTGCTTCTTTCTGTCTAATAACACCCTGTTTAAGAGATCACCTGGTTTTGAGAGAACAGTGATGCCTATGAAGTTCTCACACTTGGTGAGACCGCTCTTCTTTGATATCTTGATCAGGTGTCATTCTTTACAGTCCGTTGGTACATGTTCATCATCCTAAATCTTGCAGAAGAGAATGTGAAGTATGTTGGCATTTACGGCCTCGTCCACTTTCAGTACCTCTACAGAAATGTTGTCTGTTCAAACTGTTTTGCCGCTCATGGATAAAAGGACTATGTTAAGTCATTTTTGATGCTATAGTGTTCCTGAGAAGATCATCAACATCATAAGGAGTTCAAACGATGAACTACACTACAAAGTAGTGCTTAGAGAACAGCCTGTGGATACATTTCAATTAAAGAACGTTATCAGATAAACCTGCTTACTCTCACCCTTTCTCTTTCTTATAGTATTTGACCAGATAATGAAGATCTCTACGTTTGAAGGAAAGCACGGAAGACAACGGACTGAACGCCATCATGTTTCAGTTGAGAATATTCTGGAAAAAACATATAGTGGTATGTGATATATAAAACCACCCAATGTTGTTAACATACTCAAGCCAATTTGAATAATCAAGACTTTGTATCTAATTCATATCTAATTAAATCATGTGTGTATAAAGTATGTCATTTTTCGACTAATTTTTTCAGTCCTATGTTCTATGGTATGAAATTAATGTCAAAATATTTCAATTTCTGATTTATGCATTAAATGCATAACGGACGATATAAATCCCAGTCATATGACTGAGGGTTTTGTCTTCTTCATTGATAGTTTATTCTTCAAATACAGTTATTGTAGTACTATATGAATTACTATTTCTCACTAATAAGTCCCAATGTTATTTAAAATTGATTTAATGTGACTATTTTCCATCAAACTCCAATAATACTGAAGAACACGTGCTATTTACGTATAGATTTTATGTACACCGTAGTAATCAATTAACTTCAGATTTTAAGAAAGAATAGCAATGGACAGCTGGTTCAGTGATCTAGACACTACGTGGTAACATGAGACCAAAATGTCTTGGTCCAATCCTTGATGGTGTTGTGGATCCTCACTGCTGAGAAGCTCATATACCAGAATGAAATAGTTGCCTGCTAAATAAATAGTTAATTTAAATAACAACAAAACCTATTGTATCATTAGGAAGTGAAGATAATCGAACATCGAACATTTACTCTTCAGTGAAATCATCCATCAAAGTTAAAAATCTTATTTATCATCAACTAATGTAAATAAGTCCATAATCATGAGAAAGTAACAAGCAGTAGATCATTAAATATGAATGAGAGTTTAAGACCACAATATGATGAAATATTGAACATGTTGCATTAGCACACAGAGAATAAACTGGATTCAGTGGATAGCTAAAACGAAAAACACATGAGCAAGATAGAGTAATATTATTGGAGATTAGTTTCTCCTTCTAGAATCAACTCGTACAATACTAACAATAATGTGTTAACAACGATCATAAGTTGTAGAAAAGTTAAATGCAAATGTATTCAGTGCAAAAGTGAGAATGAGCTTTACTTTTTGTTACAATATGATATTTTATACACATGTAATATGATTTTCATCATTTTTAAATGATACAATTATGTCAACTGAATCTCTAATTTCTGGATTATGAACCCATCAATGTTAGACCACGACTGAAGACCTGGATACATTGGACGACCAATTTGTACTAGTATGAGGTTCCTCAGTAATGTACATCCACAATTCTGCACGTGGGACTCAAACCTTTGAACCCTATAAGTTATCTAATCAAAAGTAAGTTCAATTTTATGTAATTTTACTATCAAAGCTCACTCAGTTATAACACCGAATCAGGTTATCTCGGTTTGTTTACTGGTCTTTCAAAAAATTCTTTGATGAGTTGATTTATAAACGTTTTGATAGCATCGTTTTCCGATATAATAATAGTTTTATGTGACATTCAAACTGCTTTTCTGTAAATCCACTAAGCTAACACTTCCTGTCTTTAATTGTTGTGTTTGTTGAGTTGCTATTAGTGTAGGCGTAATTGGGATTACTGGTGGCAATGGTGATATTGAACCAAGTTGTCTCCATGGTTGTTGTGGATAATAACAATTTAGTGTAGGTAAATACCCAAATAAAGCAATTTGTGCACATTGAAGAATCGAGCCAATCGATAGTAGACCATATGCTCTAACATTTTTAACACATTGACCTGGTTTAAGTAGAATATATGAACCAATATAATAGGGTTGTCTAGATAGAAAAAAAGTGAAAATAAGTAAACTTAGTAAAGACTTTGAATATGTCCACTGAACTAAATGATCTAGGTTTTCATATCATACTATCCCTTTCAAATACATATTAACCAATACTTAATGATCAACTAGTTAACAGAATATTCTTCTTACATTCTCAGTATCTTGTTAATATTATTAGGTTATAAATAAAAATCACTCTCCAGTTGATTGATAACTAGGTGGAGATCATTTTCATAAATGTCAGGCTCTTAGTGTAGATCGAATCTTATCGACCACGTTGCAATGTCGAGTTGCCTAAACTGGTGGCTAAATTGAAACTTGGTCTATATGATTCGATCTGCACTAAGAATGACCTGACATACATGACATTGATCAGCACCCAGTGATCAATTAATTGCAAATACATCTCAGTCCTACAGGAGATCAGTCGCGACCCGGATAGCTCAGTGGTAACGTCTCTAACTTTGAAGCTGTGTGACGCGAGATAAAATCCATCATGGAGCGCCAAGTAGCCAAAAACCTAGGTTCAGGGTTTACTGTTGACTACCTCCAAGCACCATCTTATGGAAATCACTTTCTGATTTCCAAATTCTAGGCTCATTATTTCTTTTTGTTGCCTTAACTAAGTGATGAAATGGATGTGTATATGTTATTACTGAAACGCAACTTCTGTGATGTGCCAAATCAATCACTCAGATTGAATTGTCTTTTTCGCTTTATTAAAGATTTAAAGAACAGATTCATTTGATCTATTCAATTAACAAATGAAATTATCTACCATTAGTTTATTTGTTTCTGAAGACATGTACATTGGAAGCTCATCATCAATCAGATTTTGTTTTGTTTTGGATAATTAGAAATAAATTAAGCTGAACACAACCATTCACATATTAAAACAAAAGGATTAGTTCCTAATAAGCAAGCCAGACGAAATCTCAAAATCCTTTTTTCAATAGAACTTCATAGTGATTTTTAGGCTGTACTTAACTAGAGAGCAGTATATACACTCAGTTAAGCTGACATCGATTTGAAATTTTTTATATTGACAACTGTTTGTGTTATATATATCCATTGGGGTTTCCTCGTGTGGGTTTGAATCCCATCCCCGTTGCCAATTGTTATAATTTATGTATTGAATTTTGACTTTTCTTTCCGTCATATCAGTTTGATTCCAGCAAACAACGTTTTTCTTGGCCAATGAGGCAAAATGTTTGTTCTCTAGCTTTACGGAACAGTGTAGATAAGGTTAAAGAAAATAGAATACTGGTGTTTAGACTGTAAACATAATTTGTGAGCCCCAAAGAATCCACGACCTTACGCCAAGGGGACTCAAATTCAGGATCCTAATACCAGCGCATCAACGCGTAACCTGTGGACCACTGAGCCAGCATCCATCAGTGTTAATGTCTAACTTCAATCAATCCACGAAAATGCGTCACTATCCCCTATTGTCTTCAGTCAGTAACCGCCTCACAACAGGTACAGTTGAACTCCAGCAGCTCCTCACTAGAACTTCAGTAAATTCATCTTGAAGCCAATCACTATTGGACTGGTTGAAGTTAAACATTAAAACCGTAGGGTGCCGGCTTTGTGGTCTAGAGGTTAACCATTAGCTCACGAGGCCGAAGGCCCTGGGTTAGAGTCCCCTTGGTGCAGGATCATTGGTTCGCACTGATGTGGAATCCCATAGTAGAACGAAACGGCAACCCAGTGATTTCAGGTTTCCATTAGGTATTTACTAATGTGTTAACATTGTTTTACTGATATAAGAATAACAAGTCACATGGTTTCATTATTACATTTGTTCATTTGATTTTCATTATTGATGTCATGAGCATACTTTTAATCACCTAAGCTTAATGTACATGATCGATCCAAACTGTACGATTGAATGAAGAAAGGAAATAATCCACAATTACCTTCATCTGATTAACCTTATTAAAGCTGATATTAGGTCAGTAGAAGACATTAACTTGGTTATTGAGCAATCACAATCGGTATGATTAAATTTAGCTCATTTTGTTGAAGCAGGAAGTTTACTTTACTGTAAAGTATTGCGTTCAAGAAACGTTTAGGCCGAGTTATTCTCCTGGATTTCGAACATTGAAAATTGAATGGCTCTCAATAATTCGGTCCTTAGTGTCGGTTATTATGTTAAGCCCAAATACCTTATTCTAGCTCCCGGACAGCTCAATCTATTCATTCTGACCTTGTTAGTTATTCACTTATCAATGTTGACTGTTTTTATATGAGCGCGTAGGTGTGTGTACACTTCTTATCCCATTATTCATCACATATCTGTAACTTATTTTTGTATGCCTATAAATATTAAGTAATGCTTGACTAAAGGAGAGTTAGTTTACCTGCCATCTCCACTGCGCGTTGTTTCACTCCTCTCTATTCTATTCGCTTTATATACAAAATATATGTATTCAAAAGTCCATTCTCGTTATTTGACTTATTTAATTCCGTTATTGACTGATGTGGTTTAAGTCGATGATTATATACGAGAATAGGCGACATATATATTTCAATCACAATGATTCATAAGATCAGATTGGAGTCAGTTCACGGGCCACTAAAGTGGAGAGCTCGTCAATAAACATCGTCCGATTTGAATGATGACAAAAAGAAGGGCCCCATAGGTCAATGTTGTTATCAAATCGTTGGTTGTATTCTATCTCAACACTTTTCAAAAGATTGTAGGAGCTCTTATGTGTATGAAATCATGAAGTTATTATTATTATTATTATTATTATTATTATTATTATTATGCCATTCATGAATATCAGGTTGCATAAGACAAGCTATAATAATATCCATGACATATTTTATAGAGGATCTAATATGATTTTAATAAATTACCATTACATAATAAGTATTTATGTGTATATAATAATGATAAATTGAAACTCACATCTAATAAACTTACTGATAAGCAAGCCAATATCTTGGTGTTTTATACCATACATTAGAAGGTGCACAAATTGATTGTGTAGTCATCATTAAATATGGTGACAGTGCTTCATTACTATCACATATATCAGACCAATAACCATTTTGATTTATTTCACTATACAATCTTAAACATTGTAAATAGATAATTATCCCATGTAATAATTTCGAATTGCTTTGTGTTTTATTTAAGTTACTAACTTCCATAGATACATTTTGCGGTAGTTTTAATGACCATGTAGTAGTACAAAATAAAACAATACTGAATAATAATAAGTCATAGTGCATCATTATTAATCAGTTTAATAAGGGTAGTGTTTTACACAGTGTTTTTTTTTATATCATTTTAGATCTAATAACAATGAAAAGAAGAAGTTGTATCGATTGTTTGATAAACTATACACTTTGATAACTATGAAAGTTTACTAATCAATAAATGAATGACGATTATTTAGTTTATATACACATTTTTGACTTCGTAGATTCATGCCAAATAATATAGTAATTACGCATGGACTATACTGTAAAGTTATGGGTGAAAGACAGCTAACATATACATTTAAATTAAAGACTGATATCAAATAATGTTGCTTACCCTCTCTCTCTCTCCTCTTCTTTCTTCTCGTAGTCGAATAGATAATGAAGATCTCCACATCTCAGGAAAAGTATGGAATACAATGGATAGCTTGGATACAGTTGTATAATTTGGACTTCATACATGATCAATATTCTCTATCCCCTACACAGCAACAAATACAGGTGATGGCAGATAATTTATCAGCAACGATGCATTATAGCAGAGAATGAAACATATTCCAGCTGAATAGAAAATTCAGAAAAGACTCTGGAGGTGTTGAAATCAAACAATATCACGAGGCAAGCCCCTATTTAGAGTTCTGAAAGCAAAACTACAAGTGTCAGGTCAATGAACTCAATGCATCGGTCACTGGAAACAGATATCATAAGAATGAATAACAATTCAAAACACAAAAAATGATTGTCTAGGAAGCAGTTGGCTGGAGGATCTTGATGAGTGTTCTATGCTACTAGACAAGGAGTAACAGGGGTAAGTAAATAAATAAGATTACGTACTTGTACACATTGATAATAGATACAGATCGAGTGGCTGAAAACTCGACGAAGATCGGATATCTAATCTAACTACATTTCGAATAAAATGAAATTGTGATTGTCAGGAGATTTCCACTAGAAATCATGTTGTTTAGTACTAAGTGTTTAATATTGTTACGGAGGTTAGTATGATAATGGGTTAACATTTATGATGTTTGGGTGTTGGCAAAGATATTTTTAAAAAAACAGAACAGATAATTTAATAAAATACATTTATATCAGTCAATCACATTTATTCAATACTAACAGAATTAACATTTAAGTGTCCATATACAGATGATGATACATACTACTTATATCTGTCGACATCAGTAGCAGACATCACATTATTAAAAATTGTCATTTATGTGACATATTTCTTAATTAAATCAAAATTATTTATCATCATATTCTATACATCAGTGAGATACAAATTAAACTTCTCCTCTAAAGAGAGGTGACTTTGATTATGATTACAAAGGAATCATTGAATAGCCTGAGAATGAACAACTGAATAAGCAAACAAAATACTAACTTATTTAAACCTGTTACTCTGCTTCATAGTGTTTAGTATCGAGCGCACAAAAAAACGAGCTTGTGATGTTCTGACAGTATAACATATTTACTTACTTACTTACTTACTTACTTACTTACTTACTTACTTACTTACTTACTTACTTACTTACTTACTTACTTACTTACTTACTTACTTACGCATGTTACTCGCATTAAAGCACACGTCGCCGTCCAGCATTCTCCAACACACTCTGTCCTGGACCTTCATTCCTAGTTCTAATCAATTCTTATTCATCATTCTCATGTCTGTCTCCAATTGTCGACGTAGTATGTTCTTCGGTTTTCCTATTCTGTTTTGACTTTGAGGATTCTATGTCAGGGCATGGCTTGCGAAGCAATTGAGTGCTTTCCTCAATCTGTGTCCCATCCACTTCCAGCACTTCTTCCTCATTTCTTCCTCCATTGGGATCTGGTTTGTTCTCTCCATTCACCATTTCTCAGTCTAATCCATCAAAGGAATTCCGTATGACATTGACCATTTTCTCAGTCACGATGTGGTGTTGAAGAAACCTACATATTGCTGTCCTGTCAACGCTGCCGAACGATTTTTCGTAATCAACGAAGTTGATGTAGAGTGATGAATTCCATTCAATTGATTGTTCCACAATGATCCGTAGTGTTGCGAATTGGTTTGTACACGATCGATCCTTATGGAACCAAGCCTGTTGGTCTCGAATTTAAGCGTGTACGGAGTGCTTCGTTCTGTCTAATAACACCCTGTTGAAGACATCACCTGGTTTTGAGAGAACAGTGATGCCTATGAAGTTCTCACACTTGGTGAGACCGCCCTTCTTTGATATCTTGATCAGGTGTCATTCTTTACAGTCCGTTGGTACATGTTCATCATCCTAAATCTTGCAGAAGAGAATGTGAAATATGTTGGCATTTACTGCCTCGTCCACTTTCAGTACCTCTACAGAAATGTTGTCTGTTCAAGCTGTTTTGCCGCTCTTGATTTTTCCGATGGTCATGCTGATCTTTTCAATTGTCGGTGGATCAACATCGATTGGGCGTTCCTTGTGTGCATCTTCGATGCTGAGTGAGTTCAGTCGGGCTGGTCGATTCAAGAGTTCTTTGGTGTTCTGTACCCACTTGCTTCACTGTTCTTCAATTGTTGGTGGTCACTTTTGTTTCTTTGCTTTTCACTGGTCGTTCTAGTTTATGATATCTTGCAGCAAGTTTCGTTGTTGTGTCATACAATTTTCTCATGTTTCTTTATCTATAAGCCTTTTGCGACGTCATTGCCAGATCTTCCACATATATACTTTTGTTGGTTCTGATGCCTCTCTTCAATTTCTTGTTTACTTCTGTGTATTCAGCGTTTCAAATTCCTGACGTATTCTTCTTTGTCCATAATCACTGTGATGCATCCTTTGTCCGCTGCAACTATGACAATATCCCTAATGATTCTCAGTTAAAAAAGCTTATTCGTTGAGGCTATAATTTACAAATGACTTTTTAGTGACGCTAAAGTGACCTTGAGAACATCCACTTACTAACCATTAGAATAAATGACGGTTATAAACCAGAGTTATGGTTTACAGCTGATGGTTAAGATTTAAGGTTTTCATCACAAATTGACATCAGTTAAATGTCAAAAGACTATTTAGCCCAAATAAATGGATGGATGAATTACGCGCGAAAATCCAAGATCTGATATCTTAAATCTGTTTGGTTCTTCCATAAATCATAATATTGCCGCGGAGAGATTATAATTTATGGACGAACCAATCAGGTATAAGATAATAAATCTCGGATTATGGTGCGAAATCCACCCAGTCATTTGACTAAATGGAGTTTTGGTATTATAGCTGATGTCTCAATCGAATTCTTAACATTAACCATCAACTGTAAAACATAATTCTTATTCCTCGCGCTGCTTTATAACACTGATTTGGTGAACATTCTCAAGGTCAATTTAGCATCACTCAAAGGTCGTCCATAAATTATAGTCTCAGCTATTGCCGCTTATTCAATTGTATGAGGTTTCGATTTGATAGTTAACAAAATGTAACTTTAAAACAATAAATGGTATGCCTTAACTAATTTGAGAATGTAAAGCAACATGTTGTAATCATTAGGGTTAACAAAAAACGTTTATTGCACAAAATAATGCTATTCACCTATTAGACTGTGAGACAAAGACATATTTTCATGAATTTTTTAAAAAGATCAGAAATAAGTGACTTTGTTTCGTTAATCAATCACCTCGACAACCATCATAATGTGGTGTCGTACTACTGATGTCGACAGATATAAGTAGTATGTATCATCAAACGAAAGTGGACTGCTTGACGGTAGAAGATTAAGAAGATCTTAAGCAAAAGAAAGAGAACAAAGAATGATTGGTGCGGAAATGAAGGAACAATGAAGTCTGAGACGATTGATTGACATTTTGCAAATAAAGTATTTATTGTACGGTTCTTAGATTTGATTAAAATATTCCGTAATTTTGCATTCAAATACATTCGATTGTCCCTGCTTGTGTTCTCGTTCATTACAGTAATATAAATCTCAACGGCGTTTGAAATCGGAAGCCAGTAAGATGAAGAAGACAACAAAGTTACAAGCAAGCACATTGGGCGGATTTGAAGCAGAGAGGCGAGTGTCTGTGTATGCATACAGGCAAATACAAAAGGCAAATTTTTATTCAAATCGAATAAGGCGCAGTTAGACAAGGCAAAGGCTGATAATATACATGGAGAAGTAAATGATTCATCGAGCGATTAACATTTTAGGTAGAGAGATGTGTGTAAGTTGTCATCTGATCAAGAGTAAACATCTATACAGATATGGTAGTGATCATAATTGTACAAAGATATATGCGAATTGTTACTCTTCGAATAACATTGTCTGTTAAGTTACTTGAAACTGATTGTAGAGGAACTGTTATATAAGGTCGAAGATTGTTTTTCAGATGTTTTAAATATATTCTAATGAATAGTAATATTGTAGTGAACAAGAACACAATTGAAGACAATCGAATGTAGTCGAATACAAAATTACATCATATCTTAGTAAAATCTAAGAACCATACAGTGTATACTTCACTTACAACATATCCATCAATTATCTCAGACTACATTGTTCCTTCATTTTCATACCAATTACTTTCTCTTTCCATTCTTCCTTCCTCCTTCTTCTTAACTTTCTGCTTCCAGATATTTTATTTCTTACTAACATTACATACTACTTATGTAGATATCAGTGTGGTGTGTGCTACTTATGTTGACATAAGTAGTATATGACATGAGTACTGAACACAATGTCTGGCAGCAGAGAGACGAGAAGATAGAACAATAAAAAATGAAGAAGGAATGCAATTTGTATGGAAATGCAAGAGTTATTTGAGACAATTAATGAACAATTTGCAAATTAACGATTTATTATATGGTTGTTGGATTTTACTAACTACTTCTGTAATTTGTTGTTAAATACATTTGGTTGTCATCACCAGTGCTCTGCTTCACTACATCAGTAGCGCATATCACAGTATGGTATATAATGTATAACTTCGTACCATAATGTTATGGAAATAAAGGTATACAGAAGTGATACAAACTTTTTAGAAATTACTATTTTCATATACATTTCATAGAAAC